GTGTGTATTATTATCAACCCACTTCATAGAACAGGAAATATGAGGCTTCGAAGAGTAATTAGCTCAAGGCTGCAGCATAGCAGAAAAGGAATGGAAACCTGGCCAGGCTGGTCCCCAAGCTCAGGCTGGCCCTCAGTCTAGATGCACTGAGGTAGGAAGGCAGGCGGACTCCTTGAGGAGACCAGGAGGAAGCAGGGGGTCAGCGCTGGGAGGCTCAGCTGACCCCAGGCCCAAGGTCAGCTAAAGGAGAAAGCAGCCCTGGGGCTTTCTTGCTGAAAAGGCAAGCAAGCCTCCCGAACTTTGTGCTTCTCCTGATCAACAACAGAGAGCCAAGCTGCTTAAAATAATAATGATTTAAAAAGAAAACCACCCCCTGCCGCTGGCTATTCCCAGGCTCCAAAGTGAGCCAATGCCCCCAGTGTCTTGAGTACAGTGAATTCAAGTAGGGAAGCAGGGCCGCCCCAGCACCCGCTGGCTAACCTCCAAGCAACGCTTTTCCTTCTACACTAACACGTAACTCTGCTCAACACACCACTTGAAAGCCAAAGAGATGCCCTTGGTTGCCATGGCAATGTTAAATAGACAAAACATTTTAACCAGCTCTGACGCACACACACAAACTTATTTAAGGACCAAAGGGATGAATTTGGTGGGGGAGAGGGAATGGGGTTGGGAGTGTTGTTTCTAAAGCTCTATCTCCAAGGATTTGGCCCCAAAAGCATCTGGGTCAGACTGAAATAGGGCAAAGGGCTCCTTAAAAACAAGCCAGGGCTGGGCTTGCTCCAGGAAAGGGAAGCCACTGCTGTGCCTCTCTGCCTTTCCTGGTGCCATATTTTATGAGGGCCAAGAGGAGGGCACGGAGGGTTACAAATGCTGATAGAAATGCATCAGGCTTGAGTCCTGGGGACAGCATCTCAGTCTCTTACCCAAAAGGTATGAGTGTTATTCTAGCCCACAGCAGTCAGGTGGACTGAATGTGTCATGAGCTTATAAACCTTAAAGCACTGTGTAGATGCACATTAGTGCTGATATAAAAATATTAACAGTCATTTCCAACCGGGTAGTGTTTCCATTTCCCAAATTTTATAGCTGAACTTCTGTTCACAGGAATTGATGACCCTGGATTTTTTCCTTTAGAAATCTTTGTTCTGAGGTTTCTCCCCCAGATGCAGAAAGGAATCTGTATGATAGAGCATGCAGAGGGCTTGTCCCAGGTCTGAAAAGACTTCTGTGCCTATAAGTCTGCTGTACACTGCACTCTTCCGTGTCCCTCCTTTCATCACAGGCACAGCAGGACAAGGAATTGATGCTGCCAAGAGGCTAGAAGAGCCTCATCACACACAGTTCATGGCAATTTGGTATAATCAATGAATGATTGTATGTAAAACCTTCCTCTGTGGGATCCATGATATCCTCAGGTAAACCCATCCTCCAGAAATGGGTTCCGTGCCTGGCTGTCTCCACTTGGAATCCTCTTCCACACATCATCGCTTGTGGTGAACTCCCTGATCTTTCAAAATTCACCCTTTAGAAGTTATTTCGAAGCCTTCCTTGCCCTAGGGGTAGAATGGATCCCACTGTGCCATGCACAGATGTCTGTGGGAGCAGCTGCAATAATCTATTGTTCTAATTGTTCTCTGGTCTCTTGCCCATTCGTCTGAGTTTTTTGAGGGCAGGGATCATACCTTGTTCACCTGTGTATTCAGCTGGCCTAGCCCGGCACCTGGCATTAGCAGGCACTCTGTGACTGCTTGCTGATTGACATTCTAAAAGTACACAAGGCCGAGCGCATTATGATTATGCCCTGCTGCCCCTGGAATCCTCTAGGCCATATTCCACAAATGTCTGCTTTCACTTCCCCATCTCTGGGAAGACAGCATGAGTTAGACCAGAGAACAGAGCAGCTGGGCAGCCTAGCGGGTTAGAAGGAGTGAAGGGAGGGAGGAAAAGGCACCCTCTTCCAGGGCTTATTCCTCCTACAAAGCTCATGCTCCTAACCCACCCTTTAGCGGGTCAGGATACAAACTGACCCGTTGAAAACTTAAATAGCTCCCACTTCATTCCTGCTCTTAAATAAAACTGCTTTCCTTTGTCTCCATTATTAAAGGGCCCTAAAAGTGCTCTATCTGTTTTCTTTTTCTTTTTTGAGATGAAGTCTCACTCTGTCACCCAGGCTGGAGTGCAGTGGCGTGATCTCAGCTCACTGCAACCTCTGCCTCCTGGGTTCAGGCGATTCTTCCGCCTCAGTCTCCCAAGTAGCTGGGACTACGGGCATGTGCCACCACACCTGGCTATTATTTTTTTTGTATTTTTAGTAGAGGCGGGATTTCACCATGTTGGCCAGGCTTGTCTCAAACTCCTGACCTCATGATCTGCCTGCCTCAGCCTCCCAAAGTGCTGGGATTACAGGCATAAGCCACCACGTCCAGCCTCTGTCGGTTTTCTTAGGGAGTGATCGCATTAACTCTATGCTAATTTTCTTTCTAGCAGAGTCCGTTACCCTCCTAAAAGAATACACTTCCCAAGTTCTCATCTCATTGTGTGTCATCTTCCTTCTGCCATGCTTGTTACATGTCTTCTCCTTTGGTATCCTCCAAACAGACAATATTTAGCAAACAACAAATGTTTATCATTGGCCACACATATAAAGTCTAATTGTGAGGTTAATCACCTAGGAATCTAGAATTGGTGGCACACACCCTATGCCATATTCTCAAATTATACTTCCCATGAGCAAAAATACTTTAACTTTATATATGCTCATGTGTATACAGGTATCCTATTAGCCAGAAAATCACCCATGCCTATTGAAAGAACTTCCTGTGTGATCTAATGAGTTTTGCCTTATGAACTTGTCATTGTTTTGTGATGTAGGGACAAGAACAACGATCCTGTTGTCCTTATCATCATCCTACTCATTTCCTACCAAATGGAATGACTACGGTAGAGGTTCTTACATTTTCCTGGACTCACATCCTGCCTGCTGAACTATTCTCTGCTAGGCTTACCACAAGACTGTCCTTGCCTTCCCACCCCTAAGCTGGTACTAATTATCACAGACAATTATAGGATTTTATATTCTTATGTTCTAAAAATAACACAGTTTACATACACACACAAACAAAACAAAGTAAAACAAAATAACACTAGTATGGCTGAAAGAGTTATGGAGAATCTGCAACACTGCATTGGTGCTATGGTAGCATTTATAGGTAACTTATTTGCACATAGAAATAAATTTGCAAAAAATCTGAAGTGACAATATTACAGGTTGGATATCCCAAATCAAAAAATCCAAAATCTAAAATACTCCAAAATCTAAGAGGCTAGAAGAGCATGACATGAACCTCAATGGAAGTGCTCAGTGGAACACTTTGAATTTTTGTATTTGGGATGCTGTAAGTGTAATGCAAAGATTCCAAAATCCAAAACCTGTCTGGTCCCAAATATTTCAGATTAGGGCTACTCAATCTGTATAAGCTTGAAAGTAGACTGTAACAACAAGCAAAACCTCCAACAGAAGGTGCTTAGAATACAGGTGCACCAAATAGAATAAAAGGTTGACTATCTCCACATATCAATTCTACACATGCATTATAATGGACTGGGACAATTGCATCAACATCTATCCTGGAGGGAAATAACGCATCTGTTTCATATGAAGATATGACTACATGTGTAGCATGCCTGCACTAAAATTAAGTCTTCTATCATCCAAATTTTCTCAATTATTAATACCCCAGACAGCTGCAGTAGCTGTAGCAAAAATAGCAGCCCAGCTTTTCCAAAAGTCAAAGCAGCCATGAGATGTCAGCCTGGGGACTTTCCTATGTAAGAAGCGGTTTGTCTTCAGATCAAATAAAAACAAACAAAACCTTCAGTGGAACAATAACAACAAAATCTTGCTTCAGAATGTAAACTGGAAAATGGCTCCCCTTCCATACATACGCTGACATCTTTATAATAAAAATGTTTTTGTGCATGAAAAAAGCCAACTCAACAGGCTGCCTATCTGCCCAAGTCACTAGGATAACCATTCAGCAAACTAAACAGTAAACCCAAGGAATACCAACCACTTCGGTTTATTCTGAAATGAGACCTGTCAAACTGTGCCTACTTACAGGAGGTAGAATGGGGTTAGAGAAGTAAATTATGCATTTTTTTTTTTTTTTAGATTTCTGGAAGCAAATGAATGCCCAACAAAAATAGCTGTCCTTAAGTTGCCACCTTCATGTTTTAAATAGGTTATTAGTGTCATCTTAACAGACTCTGAAAACATATATATATTTTATAAATACTCAGGCTTGAAATGTGTTTTGAAGTGAAAAACTAAGCCAATGTTTTCTGAACTCAACAATGACCATGAATTTTAATTTAAAGATTATGTGTGGAAGATGCAGTAAGAAAAATAACAGATTTTTAAAAGATTAGTTTTGGGGGTTATGTATAAAGCTATAATACTAGAGCTTAAATGCATCATGCGGGAGAGAACATCACTTGCAAAGGTTATGTTGAAAAGGTTCAAATGTGACTGCACATTTCACATTCCTGTCACAGTTCTGATTTCACATCATTCTAACATTTAAAGATAATCTGATCACATGTTCCAGTTTCTGATTAGTAAGATACCATCACCTCATCCGTGCCTCAGCTCCATGTACAAATACATATTGATGTGGGCCTTTGAGGAAGCAGAACAACTCATAACAGTTCAAGTTTTAAACATGTATATTTTTGCACCAGTTCTGCATAATTTGTATCTAGGAGCAAGGACAATATTTCATTTTCACTGTCTCAATCTACATAAAAATCACATTTTTCAATAAATGCCAACAAATGTCAGAAAAGCAGAGCACAGCTACTTGGAAATAGCTGTGAGTTTACTAATATAATCCCCTGGAGTAAAGCATCTGGTATGAACGTTTTCAAGATGGTCAATATCATTTAGAGGCAGGGCTTGCTGACAGAACTCAAACATTCGCTACCTATGCACCACTTACCATTTGTGATCTGTTCTTTGGACAGCCATTGATGTCTTCAATCTTTTCATTTGCTGAAAAAGGAAACACAAGTCAGAAAAATAAATCACCAGAGAGACACTTTCAGTAGTGTTGTTCAGGACACTTGAGGCCAACCAAGTCCTAAGGCCCATAGCAGGGACTGTCCAATCAATGCAGGCATGTGAAATGCTAAGACACATCTAGCAAGCTTCAGGACTTACTCATCGAGCTGCCATCCTCCAGGGACAGCTGGGGCAAGGTCACCATCTAAAACAGAGACAACTGCATTGATGACAGTCTTGGAATGATGGGGCATCGTGGAAATGCTTGGAGGCTGGGAAAGACAGTGAGCTGTGATTGTGCTTTAGGCTCTTGGAAAGGCAAACACAACTGCCACAAAAGACGGAATAGTTCAGAGTGGATCAGTCCAGCTACAACTCAGCTCCCAGGGACAAAAGCCACAAATGAAAGCATCTCACTCCATCTTTGGCCAGGCTAATACTGCTTTTGTTTGTCCTTATAACTATTCCCAAAGCACTGGCAAATGGAGAAAGTAAGAAAGTGAAACTTTATCACTTTCTCACTATGCGGCTTGACCAATGCCACATAGTAAGTCCAAATTAGATCAAGGAATGCACATGCATGAAGTCATAACAGTACCCAGCTATTTAGGGAAGTGATAGAAAGAGGTTGCATTGCATTCACAGGAAATCAAGTACTAATACAAAGGAGGATTGGCCCAGCTTCCCAAGGTGAATGTAGTTCATCACAAGTGTGTGTGTGTGTGTGGGGGGGGTGGTCCCTGACATGACACAGTCCAAGATATCTATGGAGAGGTTGTGTTTGAGAATACAGCAGCACAAGAAATGCAGTAAACATGGTGGTTAGATCACAGGCTTTGGAGGCAAAGATACATCAGCTTGAATCCCAGCAGCAGAGCTTCTTAGCATGTGACCTTAGGCATGTCACCTAACCTCTTTGGGTAACAGTTTCCTCATCTATAAAACAGAGTTAATACTACCTGCTTCACAGGAGAAGCAATGAAAATTAGATGATGCGAGTAAAATGCTGAGCACAGTGCCCAAAATATAGGAAGTGCTTTTGAAATGGTAGTATCATTAACCCAGTAATATGTATTATCATCTATGTAAAATACATAAAAATTTTATTTTTGATATCTCCATCTGAGTTTAGAAATTCAGCTATGACTCCATAGTAAAGAATTAAGGGTTAGCTCCCTCTCAAAGCCTTTATAAGCTTTCTCTGCAATCCTATGTCCTTACCCACAGAAGGGTAAGATAGACACACTCAGGCCTCTGTTCCCACAGCACCCTGTACCTGCCTCTGTTTTGTTCTTAATCATCCAATACATATTTCCTCCTTTTCTTGTTTCCCCCAACTATGCTGTGAGAGCCTGGCAGACATGCACAGTTTACCTTTCACATCTGTATCCTTACAGCTCAATAACTGCTTGCAAAATTGAATTCCCCAAATAAAATCATATATTTTAATCAATACAATATCTAAAACTTCCATGCAGAGAAAAGCCACTGGAAATTGTCTGAAAAAAATAATAGAATCAAAGTGTCCCAAGCCTCCAAAATTTTAGAAACCTGAGCCATTATCTCAAATCGAATTTATTTTTTCTCTAGTGTTTCTATCTTGAGAGAGAAGTGAAAATTAAGAAGAAACTTGCTAGTGGCAGAAAATTGTTTAAAATCTAATCACCAAAAGACAGACTGGTTAGTATACATTCAGTCTAATCTACACCTTGCTTTTTTTAGAACTTGCCAGCAGTAATAGATGTTAAGGTTTATAACCCACCTGGGAAAATCCCAATCTTCAGAGATCTAACTGCGTTTTCTCAACTCCTCTTAATGTAAGAACACGAGGACAGACCTTGTAGAAAGCCTTGCTCCCAAAAGAGGTACCATGAAAAGCACAAACGAGATGCCCACTGAATGGAATAACTCATAAATGTTTGTTCTTCTGTTTATCAGAAAATATAATGAGCCAGAATATATTACTAGCATGTAAACATAAGAACAGAGATTCTTATCTGCTTTGTTTCCTACCGTCACCCCAAAGCTTAGCACAGTGCCTGGTACACAGGAGCCACTCAATAAATACTTGTTGAGTGGAACTAAGTATTCCACTCAATGGAATATATTCCACTTCTGAATCTCAATGAATCAAGAAATCTTGATTCTTGAACACTGAGATGAATCAAGAATAGCAGCCTCTTTTCAAGCAGCTATCCTTCCACTTGTAATACAGATGTACAAACTAAAGCCCAAAAAACACAAACACTTGACAAATGGCACTCTTTCATATATGGGAAATTACGGCAGGCATGAGCTCTGACCTTGGATTTTGACACTCAATATTTGAGAGAATAAATATGTGGCTTTTGAGAATCAAGGCCAGTCAAGGTGTCTTCCAACTGGATACTCATGATGGCCAAAGTCATAAGTCATTGGATTCTGATCAATACCCAGTTCAACATTAGGTCATTAGTGCTCATTACAGTGAAGGATGGATAACTGCGATCCCAAGAAGTCATTTGGGACATTTTAAAGATTCTTTAGATGCCACCTAAATAATGAAACCAAAGGGCTTGGTCTAATTACTCATCTATTTTCTTTTCATGGTCCGTCACCTAAACCCAGTCAGGTGCTCTTTGAATTTAAATATCATGGCTCTTACAAGCCTAATACTTCCATTTTACAACAGTCAAAATAAACTGATGGGGTAGAGCCTAAATATAACCACTCTAAAGAGTACATGGGAAGAGATGAATCAAATGACTAATTCAAACTCAAAATAATAAAAACACAAAATGAGTTTTGGGCCTCCTAGTTTCCAGTTTCATATACTTTAAATACGTCTTTACTTAAGTTCCCAGGAATTCCTATGGTTGTCATAAATAATTAGAGTGCTAATAGCAGCTCTGATTCTGCTGGTACGAAGGAAGAGCTTGGTCTTCAAAGCTGAATTTATTAACTCAGGGCAGGGGGTCTTTGGCTGCATCCCAAAAGCAGATAATCAAAGAAACAAAGACACTTATCCCCAGAGTCCTCATCTGTGATTAAAACTGGCATCCTTAAGTGCCAATGGTAATTTATTTATTCCAGCATACTCAAGACTTTCTTAGCCCCACTAATGCAGTAACCTGTCTACATGCAAGGTGACAAGTTAGTGACTGGAAAGCACTGGTGCACTTTCAAAGTAAGAACAGCGGCATCAAGCTTATTACTTTTCAAAAGACCTCCATTAAAGGATTCAGAGCATTTCAATATAGCCCGTGCATCTATGCACTTACCATCCCTGGCAGTTAACAATCCTGCCAATGGGAAGAGGCAAAAACTGGCTCCCCAGAAAGGTAAATGACTTACCCAGGGTTCCACAATGGTAGTAGATCATCAACAGAAAGAAGGAATAGTCCTACATGTTGTATGAATTTCCTAGTTGTGTTCAGAGGCAGCCTAAACGGTGGTGGAAAATAAGCTGCTATCAGGTCTTCCCATTTCTAAGAGAAAATTCTCTATCTCTCCCTTTGCTCCCTTTTTCTCCAGTCCTCCTTTGTTCACCTTTTCCTTCCTCTCTCAACTCTTATCTCCTTTTCTCCTACCCCTTCTGTCTCCCTCCCTGCTCCCCTTGCTCCAACCTCTTCTGGCATCCACCCTGCATGACAGCTACGTAAGCAAAGGAGGGAGGCCTGTCTCTCTCCTGATTCATGCTGTTTATCCTGGCCTCATAAACCTTCCTAATAATTCACAGAGATGGCACTGTGATGGGCTGGAAGGCAACTGCTGACTTGGGGAAGCTCATGACTCAAGAAGATAATCACACTAACAAGAGGCTGAACATGTAGATCCAACCTTAGCCACCAAAGGAAGGCTCCTAAAGGGCAGCAGCAAATGTCCCACTTTTTGCCTCATAGAAGATAATGATGGAAAAGTCCCAAACAATCCCACTATCTAGGAAGCCCAGCTCCAGGGGTGTTTAGGATAGACGAAGACTTAGGAACAGCAGATGTAAAAAGCATTTAAGGCTGGGCATGTGGCTCACACCTGTAATCCCTATACTTCGGGAGGCCAAGGCGGGCAGATCACTTGAGGCCAGGAATTCTAGAGCAGCCTAGCCAATATGGCAAAGCCCTGTCTCTATTAAACATACAAAAATTAGCTGGGCATGGTGGTGCATGCCTATAATCCCAGCTACTTCGGAGGCTGAGGTGGGAGAATTGCTTGGACCCGGGAGTTGGAGGCCTCAGTGAGCCAAGATTGTGCCACTGCACTCCAGCCTGGGTGACACAGTGACACTCTTTCTCAAAATAAAACAAAACAAAACAAAACAAAAACCAGGTCTTCTTGTTCTAAGAATTCTAGTTCTTTGGACTACTTAGAAGTTTTCTTCTTAGAAAGGAAGAAGAAAGCTTCTTAGAAAGAAGACAACTTCTAAGATTTTCCTTGAAGTTACACATCTGATATCACTTCCCAGCCTGAAAAATCAACTCTTCAACCAGTGGCCTTTGTTCTTAGGCTAAAGCCCAGAATTCTTTGCCTTATACCTGGTGGCTCTGCCCGACTTTGCCTTGCTGGCCCTCTGGCTCTCCTCTCCTCTCTAGACACTATTTTCTCTGCCAGGAATGCCCTCCCTGTCTGCTTCGCCTGCCTCACTCTTAATAAAAGTCTGAAGTCTCGGCTTACAGGTAAGTTCCTTGAGGAATCTTTCCATGACTGACACTCTCCCACCGTCCCCTCTCCATCCTGGGTCGGGTCTTAGCACCACAGCCATCATCAGCACACTCCTCCCGGTCCTAGAAAGGGGCTGTCTCTTAAAAGGCACAATCTTGCTGCCTGCAAATTTTGATGGACCTTCATTTAGATATGTTTTCTTTTTAATTTTTAATTTTGAAATAACTTCAAACTTGCAGAAAAGTTACAGGAATAGTGTAGAAAATTCCCATATCCCTCATCCACTCTCCTTTTATTTCTCCCTCTCCTCCCCTCCCCTTCTTTCTCTGTAAGGCACACATATCATCTTTCTTCGAGCCATTTCAGAGTAAGCCACGTAGATCATGCCCTTTGCTTCTTATGCTTAGTGTTTATTTACAAAGAACTAGGATATTGTCTTCCATGGTACAACTACAAATTCTGACAATTTAACTCCAACATTCCAATTTTGCCAATTGACTAAAGAATATCCTTTAGAGCACTGTATTGCCCTGCATGGGATGCAGTTCAGGATCATGCTGTGCTTTTAGTTGTCACGTATCTTTAGTCTCCTTCATCCTGGAACAGTTGCTCAGCCTTTGTCTTTCACAGCATTCACATTTTTGAACAATATAACCCAGGTTTGGTTTTTTTTGATAGAATGTTCCACAATTTGTCTCAGATTCCTCATGATTAGTTTCAGGTTTTCTATCCCTGACTGCAATACAACATAAGTGATGTTATGTTCTTCTAGGGTATCACCTCAGGAAGCGTATGACGTCCATCTGTCCCTCACCTGTGATGTAACTTTGATCACCTGGTCATGATGTGATCTGGATACTCCACTTAGTGGTGACTTTGTTTCCCCTTGCAGCTAATGAGCAATCAGTGGAGAGAGATGTTGACACGATGCAAAAATCCTGTTCCTGGTCAAATTTCCTCCTCTAGATTTCAGCATCCCTTGATAATCCTTGCCTTAACTCACATTTACCAGATGGTTGCAACTCCCTCTTCCTTTATTAGCGTTCTCTCATAGAGTCCAGCCCTCTCTTCTCCATTGATGTATCTATTTTTAAATGTATCTATTATTATAGACTTGTGGATTCCTATTTTATTTAATGGCTATAATCCACTGCTGTGCTCAATTTATTTTGATGCTTGCACTGTCCCCAGATTGGATTGTTCTTTGTAGCCTTACAGGGAAGAGACACTACCAAGGGGAGGACTTAATAAAAGAAGAGCTGCTATGGTCTGAATGTCTGCGTCCTCCTAAAATTCGCATATTCAGGTTTAATCCCAATGTAATGGCATTTGGAGATGGAGCCTTTGGGAGATGATTAGGTCATGAGGGCAAAGGTCTCCTGAACAGGATTAGTTCCCTTACAAAACAGGCCCAAGAGAGTTTGATCATGCCTTCCACCATGGAAGGACACAGTGAAAAGATGGCTGTCTATGAATGAGGAAGTGGGCCCTTCCGAGACATAGAATCTGCCAGCACCTTGATCTTTGAATTCCAGCTTCCAGAATCATAAGAAATCAATGTCTTTTGTTTATATGCCACTCAGTCTGGTATTTTGTAATAGCAGCCTGAATCTAGGACAAAAGCTTTTGAAGGATTCCAACTCTCCACCATTGGAACTAGTGCCTGAAAAAATAGTAAGCTGCCCATCACAGGAAGTAATTAAGAGATGTTGTTGACTATTTTTACAGAAGGAATTCATTCATCAGATGGGGGCTTTTAAAGGTCCCTTCCAAACCTGACAGTTGAGAGCTGCAGCAGATCTCTAGAAAGGAAAAAGGTATATAACCCAGGTGCATACAATTTAGCGGAAAGTTTAGTGGAGTACTAAATGTTGAGAAGAGGAAACATTCAGGCAACCTCTTAGAAACAATCTAACTCAGGCTGGCAGTGAATAAAATTCTTATCCCTAATCCTCACAACTTTTCCTGAACATCACTGCATGCCAGGCACCATGCTAAATGTTGGGACCCAGAAAGGAAGACAACTAAGAGCCAGGCCCAAGACAGCAACTGGTGGGATGATAGACGGAGGTCCCACTGGCTCTGCATGGGGGAGCTAGGAAAGGTCTCAAAGAGAAACCCACTTTTCAAGAATGAGTAGGAGCCTGTCAGTCAACGAACAAGTGCAGCCACTGGAATTCTGTCCAGCACAAAATGAAGTCACCAGGACTCCAATTCCAGGAAATTTTGATGCAGATATATAGATATGGATATCTATATATACATATGTGTGTATATTAAATATGAGTACACATACAAATATATCCTTTCACATTTTCTTTTAAGGGGCATGTATGGGGGAAATCATGGACTTAAAAAGCAAGTGTTCAAATGGCCAGTAGTTCAGCATCCTAGTCAGAAGATGTTTCTCTCCCTCTCACCAAGAGACCTGTGTTCCTAAGACAATCTAAGAGTAAATGCTCTGAGCTGGCTGATAGACAACTGAGGAAAGAAGTCACACAGGAGATGCCTACGATTGCTGCCTTCTCACTCCTCCTTTTAGTCTGTTCTCTACATACAGAGCAGAGTTTCTAAGCCCCAGCATAGCCAGTTTGGTGAGAGTCACATGCTGACATCTGGCCTTAGTTGGGGAGTCTCTGGACAGAGTGATCCTGTGCTGGAGGGTTTAGGGAAATAATTTAGTGTCCTCGAGTGTGGCCTGAACTACTGGTGCTAACTTGAGTTTCTGGAACTGCTGATCAGTACCCAGGCCTAAAGATGCCACTGTCTAGGGAAGTTCATCTCATCTGAATAGATTCAGGGAAGCATCCTCCTGAGCAATGATAAAACTGCTGACTTACATTTTCATAGCACTATGTTTAGGAAATGCACAACATACATGCTCCCATTTGCCTCTTCTGAATCCAAGACAGACATGACTAATCTATCACAACACACTGACACAGATACTGAGACCTCATCATCCTTCTATACATACCTTTCTAGGTAGCCAAGTGCTATCCAGGAACATGTCATAGATTTCAAACATATGTCATATTTGATATCTAACCTGAATTTCATAAGACTGCTATAAGATCAGACAAAACAAGCATGGCTATCCTCATTTTAAAGATGGAGAAACAGGCAGCAGAGGTGACTGCACAGTCAGGAGGGATGGAGCTGAGATGAAAGCAAGGTCTCTCAATATGATCCTTTTTATACTCCCTCTCTTGCTGCCTGTGCTAAAACCTGGGAAGATTTCAGGTAGAAACACTCTGCACAGCTGCAAAACTCAGTCAAAGTAGGCCCACATGCATAATGTGATTCTGCTGATGTGGGCTTCAAAATCCAGCTCAGGTGCAAGTTGCATTTCCATAAAAACCCTACCAAAAAAAATGGTACCCCTTCTTCTGAGGTTCTCAGCCTTCCACATTTGTTCTTTATTTCTACCAAGGAGTACAGTGTTAGAACACAGTAGGTGCTCAAAAGGTGGTTACTTAAGTGAAGGAGGACAAAGCCCTGCACTAAGTTCAGCATCTCTGGGGTAAAAAAGTAATATAATAAAGCAAAGCAAAGAAGAGAAGTTTTACAAGCAGACTCACTGGGCCTCAATTTCTGCATCTGTAAAGTGGAGAGAATACCACTTATGTCAAAAGGGTTTTGAGAAAATGGGAGACATTTTTAAAGAACTTGGGACAATACTGATGAAGAGTAGGAGGAAGAGGAAGAACTGGAAAAGAGGAATGTGCAGACTGACTTTACGGTGACCCCCAGTGATGCCAGTACTTTGGTATTCACGCCTTGTATCATTCCATCCCCTTTCAGTGTAGTGACCTGTGACTTGCTTCTAACCAACAGACTATAGCAAAGCTGATAAGATGCCATTCCCATGATTATGATATTTAGATAAGATTCTGCCATGTTAGAAGACTTGTTCCAGAAGCTTTCTCCCTCTCTGGCATTGAGGAAACCAGCAGATATTGGGAGGCCCATTTGGCAAGGAGCTGAGAGCAGCTTCTAGGAGGTAATGGTGGCCCCTCCAGCTAACAGCCACCAAGAAACCAAGGCCCAGAGTCTTATAATTGCAAGAAAATTAGTTCTGTCAACAAACTGAGTGAACATAGAAGCAAACCCCTCCCCAGTCAAGCCTCCAGATGAGAATAAAACCCTGGGCAACAGCTTGACTGATGCCTTGCAGAGGTACCTGGCTAAGCTATGCCCCGACTTCTGATGCACAGAAGCTGTGAGATAATAAATATGTGTTGTTTTAAGTGTAAATCTACAATAATTTGTTATATGGCAACAGAAAACTAATATAGGGAGAGGAGGAAAAAGGAGAGAAAGGAGGAGAACCAATGGTGGCTAGTCTTAAGAAATCAATCTTAAGACAGCAGGGAAAACAAACTTCTTTCTCTTTGAATGGCAGCAATAGTCCAAAAGTTTTAGCTAAGGCCAGCCTTCTGTATTTTCAGGTATAGTCTCCATAGGTTTGAGCAGAGCTCCAACTATGAAAGACTACTTCTCATACTTGAAGGGTAAGCAATTCTACAACAACACACCAGAGAGGCTGGGCCCTCTGTCCTCTCCTTGTACCTTCTCCCTTGGCCAAGGCTACAACAATCAGGCTAATGCTATCCAATTGACCTCCTGCCTCCTCAGTCTGCTCTGGGATCTCACGCAGGCCCACAGGGTGGTTGTCTTAAGGCCCAAGGCAAAGTTACGGCCAGTATACACCCACGTGCCTCCACTGGAGGAACCCTCTCCTCCCAGCCCATGGCCAAGGCACGAAAAATTCCACTGCTCAAGTTCCCTTCCCCTTTCCCTAGTCCCCTTCCCCTAGTATTAAAACCAGAACCATCCAACCCCTCTGGAGCCTTAGCCTTTGATGTGTCATACCCAAGTAGAGTTGGCAGGATTAAACCAGCCCCATGTTACTTTTTTTTTCAGAAATATTTCCAGAGAAATCCACAAAACAAGTACCACCCAAAGGGGGAAATAAATGAGAGAGCCAGAAACCAGAAAGAGAATGTGAGGCAAGAAATGGGGCAGAGCACCCCTTCCCCAAACCACCAGCACTTCCCTCTGGCCTTGGCCAGCCTTTCTTCATAGAGAATTAAGATGATATTTCTGTGTATGTGACCTTAACAGGAAAAGCATAAAAGCAAGCTGGTACCCACACAATCTGAGTCAAAACATGAATCAAATAAATTGTCAGCACATGAGACAGAAACCTGCCTTCAGAGAGACTTCAGTGTTCTCTTCCCCTTACCCTGGCCCTTTGGGATGGCTCCACTGTAACTCATAACCCCCAAGGTAAAATCCGCTCTTACCCACAACCTGGATAATCTGGGCCAGGAGGACGCCATCTGTTACATCTTGCTGGAGATCCTTGATGAGACGCTTGTGGCCGGATTTGGCTAGATAATGATTGGCCCAATCTGTGTAGATCTGCAAAAAAAGCAAACGGGCAACTTTAGAAAGACAGTCGGATCCCCTCTCAGAGTCTGAGGCAGCTGCTCAGGCCAGCACAGTGGCCACTGTCCCACTGGCAAGCTTTCAGGGCCAGCCAGCACCATTAAAATTCAGTGCATTGTGCTGATCACGCATTCAGCTAACCATGGCGGGGCCTTAGCCTATTGAGAGAACTGCCGTCAAGATTCAGGGAAAAACTAAAGAAAGCTTCAAAACATGCAGAGGCCTGAATGGGACAGGGGACACGGAACTAAACAGTCTGCTCCAGGCGGCTTTGAGAGGCTGCAGCTTTGAGAGGCTGCGACTCTAGATGCCAGTGAAGTCTCCCCCAGCCCTTCCCATCTTTTTCTCTTTATTGAGAAAACGTATGGGGAGGTTACCACCCAACAGGCATCTCTTAATGGGCCATTTCAGGGTAAGGAGGGCTATTGAGGTATTCTGCGTTCTCAGGGAGCCTGGGTCCCTTGAAAAGAAGCCAAGTACGAAAACAGAGCCCATTCAATTATTCTTGTGTGAGAGAAGTTATTTACGGCCTCACAATAATCTCAAATTTAATCGGTTTAATTTAAAAGCTAGGCATCATTTTCACTGTTGGGATTCTGTGAACAAAACCCAGCAAATTCCAACATATTTAAACACAACACTGTTGTGTACAGCATTTTAGAAGGCAAAGACTGGTTGACCTATGGAATCAGGAGAGCAGACCCCCTTGGGGAACATATCAGACCTGCTCCTCCTGGTCTCAGAATGGTCAGGGAAGAAGAATATTTGCTTTCCAAACAGGCCAACAAGCACAAGAAAAATTCTTGCCTGAAAATTTTCTCCCAAACCATCAAAGCCAAAAACAAAACAAAAAAACCTCCCCACTGATTTTGAGTGCCAAGTTCCATGCATGAATTTGTGAGTTTGCAGAAGGGTGTGGATGTGCCCTTTGGATATCAGCACCTCTTTTTTTCAGAGGGATAGGAACAGATGACTGGTCAAAAAGAGAGCTGTCCTGCCTCAACTGGTTAGTAACAATAGGGTCAAGTACTAATTCCATGATGTCTCCACCAAAATGATGAAGGTGATCATTCTACCTCAACCAGTGGGCCTGCCCCGAGGATATATGTGATTCCAAGAGCAGCATATGATCTCACACTAACCCTCCACCCTGTTCTTCCAAATATCTCACCCAGTGTAATCTCACACAATGATCATGGTCCCCCACTGCTCTTGGAATGGGAACAGGAGTCACGGTCGGGTTTGCCAAGCAGAGGCCTTCTAAGGAGGCAGCATCTCTGGCTACACCACCTGGAGACCATAAGGGCGTCTCACCAGGAAGGGATGAAGCAAAGCTGAATCTTCTGGTTAATGAAGAGACGAGAGCTGTAGCACCTGACCACTACCCACCCATCTAGAAGTTCTGTCTTCTACTGCAGAGACCCACAAGCAGAAGAGGCACACCCACAGTGTGCTTCTGTTTCACAACACAGCCCAAGGATCCAATCCTTAACTCCATGCTAGTCTCCTTCCCTGTGGCTCTCCAGTTGTCAGAGACCAATCATCCAGTGGAGCAAGAGTATTTTCAATTTTATAAGCACAAAGTAAGCTCAGGAAGTAGCCCATAACCTTTGTAAAGACAATGGCCAATTTTAAATTTAAAAGATCATTAAAGGAAATTATTAAGAAGGAGAGAGGAAGGAAAATAAACATCAAAAGGAAAAGAGGCAGACATGGGTTCAGGTCCCAGTTCTGCAGTTCCCAAAAGAGTAGGGATTTGGGTCTATTTTAGTGACTTTTGCCACATACCTACAAGAGCACAAGCATGTTAGAATTTCTCAATATATTTCTGTGGGTGAAGGGATGGATGACCTCATGTGAGCTACTTAACCCCTCTGAGGCTGTTTTCTTATCTGTAAAATGGGATCGACACCATCTACTTGTCAGTTATGAGGACTGAGCACTACAACACATTTGAAAGAATGTGTTATGCAGAGGAGCTTCATATATCCAACTAACATACAGTAGCTACTACGTGCCAGGCACTGGCATAGACGTTTTACACAGGTTAACTCATTCAATCCTCATTCTATGTGGCAGAGGTTATTATTGTGTCCACTTTTTAGAGGAGAAAACTGAAGAGCAGAAAGGTAAAGTAACCTGTCCAAGGTCACAAGTAAGTGGCGGAGTCAGGATTTGAGCCCAGGCTAACATATTTTACAATCCCTTTGACATTCTACAGTGCCTCGCCAAATACAAATATGAATGTTAATCGAGCCATTCATCCCTTCCACGGCATCCTCCTACTGACTATAGGTTTGTGCCTCTATTATGTTCTCAGTGAAAGAATTTTATTTTTATTTATTTTTTTCCAAGACAGAGTTTTGCTCTATCGCCCAGACTGGAGTGCAGTGGTATGATCATGGCTTTGCTGCAACTTCTGCCTCCCAGGTTCAAGCAATTCTCCTGCCTCAGTCTCCCGAGTAGCTGGGATTACAGGTGCACGCCACCACGCCTGGCTAATTTTTATATTTTTAATAGAGATGTGGTTTCACCATGTCGGCCAGGCTGGTCTTTAACTCCTGACCTCGTGATCTGATCACCTCGGCCTCCCAAACTGCTGGCATTACAGGCATGAGCCACTGCGCTCAGTCCCAGAATTTATTTGAAAAGTAATCAAAACCCAAACCTCGATCTTTCCCTTGCTATCCAAATGCTTTTGGATAAGTGACTCTACTTTCTGGGCTTCAGTTTACTCACCTATAAAATGGGTACAATTAAGGGCTGCTTCAGAAGGTGGAAATGAAGACTCAGAGTGGCACTATATAAAAAGTGCCTGGCCTGATCCACACTGGGGCTCATGAAGTCAAGGTGATAGGGAGGAGGGCAATAAAGAGGGGTGCTCTGAAATTGACAGAGTTGCTTTAATCTTAGCTGCTATGCTGTCAATTACCTCTGTGCCCTCTGGCTTAAGTGTCTTCATTTGCAAGATAATATACCTACATCACTGGTATTAAGAAGATGAAATGAGCTCATACATATAAAGGTCACAGAATCTGGCACATGCTAAGTGTTCAGTAAATAAAAGTTAACAATAAAAAAATTTTATTAACAGCTTCATGAAATGGGCCATAACAAAGTCAGCCACAGCCTCCACCCTGAACCCCCAGGACGCAAAAGACTCAAGGATTTCTTCCCCTTCTCACAGCCAAATTTCAAGAGTCTGGAATATCCCCTAACTGGAATCACAAAGCATGGTACAGCATAAAAGAACAGCAGGTCAGAAACCAGCCAGGCTGGTATATAGAGCAAGACTTCCTTCCCTAACTAGAAGCGGATGTACTGTACTGCTCTCTCAAACCCTGGAGGGATTTCCCCAGCCCCGTGGGAGGGACTGTAAAGTTTTAAAAAGCCACATGCACCTAAAACATCAGCTGAATGAGATGTGACCATCAACAAAGGCACAGCTGAGTGGGATGAGATGCTGGTGCCTCAGCTCATCCCTTCTTAGATGAAGAAGCTTCTTTAAAATAGATGCACTGTCTCTAAAACTAGACTTCTTTGTGAGTTTGCACAACCCAGCAAGAAGACAAGGTTAAACTTATTTCAACAAGTGCACATACACACATACTGTGATTGCAGAGCCATGGTGAGGCCACGCTAGTATCAGGTACACTCATGAGAACTTCTACAGGATAGAGTGGTTGGAAACGGCTCTGCCAAAGTGAACTTCTCATTCGGAAACAAGAGCTCTTCTCTCAATTTTAATTTACCTACACACCAATGCCAAACTTTCCTAGGGCACAGCTCTAATATAATTGCCCGTTCAAAAAAATCAATGGCTCCCCACTTCTCACTGAATTAAAGGCAAACTCTTCACACTTGAGTCAAGGCAGCCTTATCATCTATCTGTCCTACCCTAGAATGTCCTCCAACCTTTGAAGGAGAGGCAGTGTGTGTGGAAGAATGGAGACTTTGGAATCTGACCTAGTTAAGCTGGTCGTTGGCCATGTTAGTTTCTAGTAATCTTTCTGTTCTTCAGTTTTATCCTCCATAAAACAGGGATTATAGCAAACATAAGGCAGGAGCTGGCAAACTGCACCACGACCAGTGCTAGCTGACCACCTATTTATGTGAACAAAGTCCTATCGGGACAGAGCCTCATCCATTTGTGGTCTCTGGTTACTTTCATGCTACAAAGCAAAGCCGAGCAGTTGTGACTGAGACCTGTTGCCTACAAAACCTCAAGTACTGACTATCCAGCTCTTCACAGAAAATCTGACAGTCTAAGGACCAAATGAGATGATATACCTACACATACCACGTGCTCAGTAGTAATAATCCGATAACCCTCAGAAAAAACGCATACCCCACATTTTCCTCTCTCTGAACTCACTCTATCCCCTCTGCCCAGATGCCTCTGCTGCTTGAGGCCACCTTGCCCAGCCCAACTCTAATGCCCGTCCCCCATCAAGTCCCTCTTCATTTCCTGACCCAAACCTCAGCTGCCTATGATATAGCAGATGAACAGAACGTGCATGCTAGCACCACCTTCCCACTCCCACTTGCCCATCTCTGCATTCCTGGTAGTGCCTCACGGGGGCTGGCCCACAGCAGGAGGCTAGTAAGTGGTTGCCAGGTAGAGCTGAACATGGAGAAAAAGGGCAAATCTTGGGAAACTGATTACACTTGAGACTTACATAATGTAGGCTCTCAGCAAATCCTCCAACCTGAATCTCTTTATTGATTGAAAAGAGCACAGAACATAGAAAATAAATCACTCCACAGCTCAGGCTCATTAATCAGGAACCATTTAACAAGGATCATTAATTATCTGGAGTTTCCACTCCCTCCCCTCCCTGTCCCCAGCTCTCAACTTTTTGAAGTGAATCATAAGGAAACATGTAGATTTATTTTTTAAATCAGTGTTCATGGGCTATGCTAATCATGGACATAAATTCAGCCCCATCTCCTTCACCTGCTGTTTCAGTAGC